AATTGATGGTGTTGTGTAACAGGTTGGCACATGACGTCTTTTGGTTGCGGCAATAAGGCGTTTAATTTAATGCAGATTAACCCAAATGTTGATTTGTCTGTAAAATTAAACTTTCTGTTGCAGGCGAGACAGAAAAAGCTGCCAATGTTCGGTTTTCTCACGACGATTGAAAAACAAACATAAATATATTGATTTTTACCACTGTTTGATCATCCTTCTAATTGCATCAAACAGAAAGCAATCTCGGCATTGATGTGTCTGGTGGCCTATGTAGGATGTCCTTTAGTCATCGTGCTTCACTACGGCTACCCAATACGCGTTGTCTAAACAACTCGGCATAGCTAGTTCTGTGATTGTGTCGCACTCATACAACGCTCCAAGGACCAATTCACAAATCTAAGTGGTCCGCGTTTGCCTTTGTCACACACCATGACCATATCTCTCGGTATTGCACGATGAGATTGGCCATTCACGAGCATATCATGATCTATGTTAGGGACAACTGATTTTTTTCATTTCTTGCACGCCAACTCATGTTTTGCTTCATTTTCCCATTTTTACTTTTTTTTGTTGAATATACGCTGATACAATTTTCAGGAACGAGGAAGCGTCCAATCAAAGGGATTTCATACAATACACAATGGATGGTGGTGAGATTCGAACACACGTCTTCCGGGGTGATAATTTGCTGGATTTACCACCGGGTCACCATCGCCCACCGAAGAAGCATATGAGACTTAAGCGTCGGTTCCAGTTTACTAACTGAATTTCCCTTGTTCCGACTACGCATTTCCAGTTGAGATGCATTGTGCACGGCCATGGACGGTCGAATCAGCTGGGATGTGAAAGAGTGCGGATAGAATTATGAGGGCTGGGCAAAAAGTTTCCGTATACGCAGTACTCGTTCAAGGTGCAGATGTCCGGGCAAGGAAAATGTGAACTATAATCTGTTATGAATATTGCTCAGTGATTGTAACTCACAGAACCAAATATCAACAGCCGAACACAGCTCGCAAGTCATAAGGGTCGCTATACTCTGACTGTAAGGATTTGACTCAGTCGATTTCACTGGAGACCGATTATTTTCTACCAATACAAATTTCGTTTAAAGCAGCAGAAGATTCTTGATTGTTTGCGAGCTGCCTTTGATGATGACGCGCTTTCAAGAAGGACTGTGTTTGAGTTGTTTGCGGAATTCAAGCGTGGCTGGCGGCTCCTGGATGATGAGACATGGTGTGGTCGACCTGTGGAAGCCACCACAGTGGACAACATTACAGCTGTGGAAGCAATGGTGGAGGCGAATGCGTGGGGCACAGCGGTATAGTTAGTGAAAGCTATCGGGATCTCATCGGATTAATCTGCATTATCTTAAATGAGAAGCTCGGCCTCGGAGAGGTTTACGCACACAGGGTACCTGCTAAGACCGAATTCCAATCACGACGCTAATGCACAGTTAATCACTTCTGCATGGACGAGCTGTTTCACCAAATTTTTTGATGGCATGGAACTAGACAAGAGCGATGTTAGAGAATATTTGGCGAAAACGTAATCCTTACTTTTGTGTAACCAATAAAACTTTTTGTGCAGCCGGAAATCTTTTTCTCATCCTTCCTGCCCCTCGTTGGTTGGCGACGATCAAGTTGTCCAGATAAACCAAACTTCGACCTGTAGTTCCTGAGTTCAAATCTCGTCACCAAGACTAATCTTTATCGTTTCTTTGTCTCTCCAGATGGCCTTTGATTAGTTGCCTCCCCATTCGTTCTTTCTACCCTCCTGTATTAACATGCATAAGTTTTATCCTGTACCTTATCTGAACTGACTCCTATCTATGAAGGAACAGGTTGTTGGTTAATTACATCAGAATTTATGTGCGTAAAACCAACTTCTGCGACATTTTCCACGTTACATGTTTTATTAATTTGCATATTTTATTCGGTTTGAAGGCCAGTGCGCATTTTCGGCTGAAATGTAAGCATACCAGCTTACACGACGAGACTGCACCTTAAATTGGTGTGATAGCTTGCGTGCCTCCATGACCCTGCGAGCTACACAGGATGGCTTTTCACAGCCGAAGATCCAATCATGCCTGAAAGGTCAACGGGTAGAGGCCAGACGAAGCTCAGTCTCACAAAGCCAGCTGCTTGGACACTTCCTGGCTTCCTTCTTCTATCCAAACCCGCCCCTGGAGAGGTCACTCCAGCAAATAAACATGCTGAGGGGCAGATTATCGGTAAAAAAACCCCGCTAGATGGAAGGACGTAGGAGCGGGTGTACCTGGGGCTTCCTCTGGACGGTGGGAGGAGTCTTCGCACTTCATTGGACAGCTACCGCCTGCCCAAGCTGGGCAGCTCCCATCTAATAAGGTGCTGTTCCGTCCACGTTCCGCTTGCCTCTTTGGGTGCATGAGGCTGAGGGCCGATCCCGATAATAGGACCGACAGTTAACGCACCAGCGAAAAACAATTATTCGAAATTCAAAGGCCTTGCGTGACAGGTCTCGAGAAGCTCCCACACGGGTGCTCCGTTCACACTCCCGCGTTGGATCTACGCCCCACTACCTTGTGGATCAGACTTTTGATTCAACGACTCCGATTAGTGTTCCCAAAGAAAAACCACGAAGTATGACGGGCCCTCAAGTCTTAGAAACCCATTTGGAAAACCATCTGTCTAGTTCTTCTTCTCAATCCCAAATAATCCCAGATGCTTTCTGTTGTGCAAATATAGAAATACAAAATACGTTCAGTAAATTGATAATTTGGTATTAACAAATTTATTTAATGAGCAAGTGAGCAAAAGAACAATGCTGCAGAAAAAACCTAGAAGGTAAAAAAGAACAAATGTGGAACAGGAGATAGACTTATTTCAAATTGTGAGCGTTTCTTATGTTGTTTGGCTCTCGGTTCGCTTGTCCCGATGTTGAGCAATAACCCTGAGAGGTTCAAACGAACAACATTCATCGTCCCTGTGGCCTTAGCCGGGCAATCGTAGTGGAACCGTAGCCAGTCCTTCCGTTGCTTTACATCAAAACGGAACGTTAATCGGATTCGTCCGGTACCTTTTTAATAAATCTGCACCATTTCATAAACCTCAAGCTGAATGCTAAGTCAATGTTGTACTCATTCTGTCCGGAGGATTTTTTTTCTCTCAAATCTATGCAATATCATTGACGCTTATTAGGTACGATACAGTCGAAAGCACTAAGCATTGAACTTGAGAGGATTGAGATCATCTAGTAGTCCGATGTATTCACCCACTAATAGTTATAACTGAGGCGTTTTTCCGCTATTTACGAATATATTTATTTAGAACGAGTTTATTGAAATTTCGTTCTATATTTGCAGATGCTTGAATGGACAACCACCGGTAAACCCAATGGGCGTGCATGTTTTAGCGGCACGACCACTTGTGATCTCGAGCTGAACATGATCAGTTTTTAATTCTGTCTATTTTACATTTATATTGCGGTTTGTGTTCAACTCTTGATGTTTTTCCCCGCTGCCTCGTCACTAGGTATTCCATACACGGCCAAGTCCTCGACAGACCTCATTTGACACGTGGTGCAACACAATGGTCCTCTATCATGAAACCTCGCCGCAGTTCAATGAAATGGTCAGTGTCAGTTGTTGAGCATGATTACCTGTACTGACCAATCTTGTTATGCACATTCTTTCCTTGACGGGTTAATGACCTGGCTGCTAGTTAGTGTTTTATAACAACACTTCTAATTCATGGTATGCATGCATACTACTATAGCTATGGTATCAATCAAGTACAGTCAATCTCCTCCTATGTCGCACCTTTGAGAAGTCGCATTTTCCAGTATCTTCCCACTTTCGAAAATCCAAACCAATCGTGTCTAATAACGTATTTTCTGACTATGCGATGTCGCACCCCCCAATACGTCGCAGTTCCTGATACGTACTCACTTGGTCATTGACGGATGTTCGGGACGACCACTGACCATCCACCCTGAAATGTCACATTCAACCAGTGGCGTTGCACCTAGCGTGACGCGTTCATTGCACTGTTCACTGATTGGATAATCCTAGCGAGGAAGTCACACCGATGCAAATGATTGGAGACAGTGTCATTTGACGTCAAAATGTGCAAGCACCTATCGATCAGAGAGAAGCAGAATGTGTTGGAAATGCTGAAACAGCCAGGTGTAATTAAGAGAAAGATCTGTAACTTATCAAGAATTTCACCCTGAACTACAATCCCGTTTCAAAGTCAGAGGTCTACCCTCTGACAGTAGTTTTAATTTCACTATCCTTACTATAGAGCAGAAAATACGATTGAATAAATTCCAATATTGAAGAGGACGTAAAGACGGTCATTATACTTAGTGATACACTGGAGTGACATTGGGTGGTAAGCTCACTCTTTTTTCGCTTATTCATGTATGCGTGCGAATATACAAAGGCATCGCACACTAGATAGTCAGTCTCACTGCTGCAGCTAACCAGTAGTTGAAAATTACAGATCGTTGGCGTAGACTTTTGCGTAACCTGAACCCATCTCCGGTGCACAAACGCATACGCTCACAATTTCCCTCTAATCCGTGCACGCACGTAAGCATCTATGCGTTGCCTGCAACACAGATAGCAGTGAAATGTTACGGGGACAGCATAGTTCATTTTATTGACAGCTTATCAAAACTCTTCTGGAGCTTGATGCCACCTATAAAGAAATCTAGTTCCACACTTAGTAATTTTTAACTACTGGTTATCTGCAGCAGTGATGCTCAGAATTCGACTTGGACCGTTTGAGATCCTGACTTCATGGTATACGAGAATTCCTGATACACATGAAGAATTAAACGGCGAGCCAGGTATTGCGGTTTTTGGCACTTCTCGATCACCCAAGCCTCAACAGAGATTTGACTTGAGGGACCTCTCCCGAGCCTCCAACAGAACACTTAATTCCACAAGATCATGCATGGGAAATGGATATCGCTTCGAGTCTGCAACTTATTGAGGGTACAGGATCCCTTTGCCAGATATGTCCTTCGAAATGAACTCCAGCGTTCAGGGTACCCAACACTGTCCATTGGTCAATTGCACCGATGACCAAATGGCCAGAAGTCCCGAGGTGAATGCACACGCTGCGTCATTGTTGGCCTAAAATCGGAAGTTTCCTATTTCTCTAGCTGTGAATAGCTCGTAAACCCGTTTGTGACCTCCGAGACCGGCTCCTTTCCATTTCGTTTCATCGAAATCGTGTAGCACTGTTCGCGACCATATTTCCCTTCAAGCATGCAATGGCTCCAGTCAGTTTTATAGAGGTCTGTTCGTTCGTGAATGATGCGAAGTTATTTTACTTTCCGATCTCGTGATACCTCGATACTGGTGTTCACAGCGTCTATCCTGATGAGGAAGAGCTGTATGCTGTACGATTTCTTATTTGTAGGTCGCTGCAGCAGCTCCGTCTAGGTGTCGTTCTGATGGTAATTTCCCGTCTAATTCAAAAATCGCAACCGATATTAAGCGGCTTTTTCCTACAGACCCCACCTTCACACAGAACAGCAATTTGTGTTCGGTCACTGAATAATCTTGGCAAATAGATTGCAGTGTTTGGTTCTTAACCAAGGGTATATTTTCAGTGCGTTTGTTTAGCAGTATCTTTGTATCAATATTGGATATTTATCTCAGTTTTGATTCAATTGAACTATGGCACCCGGTGTGCTGAGCAGAACATTGTGTGCTCCATTGAGTTTTACAAATTAACTGCTTTATCACACGGGTGAGGTGCTTGTTTATGTGTGTCCGAATTTCCAATGTTAACCCAGCCGGATTTCGATACTCCGGCTCCTGTGATATTCATTTTAGTTTTGGTGTACTTCACGTACTTTGTTTAATGTCTTTAGTCGTTGTGAACTTCAGTGTGTGTTTACTTCCGTCTGTTAGCTTACATTCTGTGTCACCCTGATATTTGATAGTAACATCATTGTTTATTCTTTTCTCCTCTCTTTCCGAACTTTGTTCTATTCGTTGTATCCCACAAATAAACTTAACTCTGATCAACTATTACAGGAATTTGTTACCCAGTTCTTCATTGCTCTTTCGTGGTCCTTCCCTTTTATTCTTTTGTTTATAGCAAATCCGTGCACTTCCTTTTTTCAGTTCTGTATCACAGTTCACTCAAATACACGTATAATGTCGTCGATAGGAGTGATTCTTGTTTACTGTCGTATTTCTGTCGGCAGCGGGCTCGTTTTC